TGCCCGCGACCTGCATGTTCGCCACGTATCTGTCGACACGGCTCAGGTCGGCCACCACGCTCCAGTACAACAGGGCACGAACAATGTCCGGTACAAGTAGTGGCGGTTTCACGAATGACCCGAGCGGTGGGTGACAACTGTATCAGAGCATCAAGCACCAACCGGTCTTGAACGTGATCGATGGCGGCTGAAACAACGTCATGATCGCAACCACAGAAACCCCTGCGACATCAGCGAGATGAACTGAGCGTGAGCAGCGCACTTGCCTGGACTCGAAGCCGGCCGCCTCGCCCTCCACATACTCGACCCCCATGTGTGTGGCCTTGCGTCGGAACGCCCGCAGAAGCAAGTGCGGGTCAAACCTGCGGCAAACGCCAGTGGTTTCTGTGAATTCAGCACGTGAGCCCAATGGTTTCAGCAATCCCCTGAAGCCATTCTGGGTCAGCCCAGCCACAAGTCGGGGAAAGGGAGAAAATTCCTACCCCGTTCTCCGCCGTGACTCTGACCACTAAGGCGGGCTGAGTCCTGCCCACGCCACTCCCAAGTGATCACACAACAGTCTCTCGCTCCCCTAACCATGTCACGCAGGTGGAAGTGCAACGGCAGGGAGCGCACGAGCCACTTATCGCTATCAACAGCGTGCATAGCCAGTCCAGAGCCAAGAGGCGCGCGGTGAGAACAGAGCACGCTTACTACTCATCGTTCTCCGTCTGTGATAGGCAACATGGCGACTGGTGAGAGCGGGAGCGAGCACGCGAGCACACGTAACATCCCTTGTTATCCTGGCCATGGCACGTGAACACACGTAGCATCCCTCATTCTCCTGGTCATGACATGCGAACACACGTACCATCCCTCGTTCTCCTGGCCATGGCACGCGAGCACACGTACCATCCTTTGTCCTCCTGGCCATGACATGAGAACACACGTACCATTCTTTGTTCTCCTGGTCACGGCACGCGAGCACACGTACCATCCCTCGTTCTCCTGGCCATGGCACGCGAGCACACGTACCATCCCTCGTTCTCCTGGCCATGGCACGCGAGCACACGTACCATCCCTCGCTCCCCTGGCCGCGGCACGCGAGCACACGTACCATCCCTCGTTCTCCTGGCCGTGGCACGCGAGCGCCACACCGTCCGTGTTGACCCAGGGGAAGCGCTCCTTCATCCGGGCCGGCGTCATCAGCTCCACCTTGGCGCCGTTCTCACTGTCGGGAGCCGAGCAGACACTGCGTCAACGCCTCACGTGTGTGGACAGCGGACGTCAACGTCTCACGTGCGTGGAAAGCGGACGTCAACGTCTCAGTGTGTGGACAGCGGACGTCAACGTCTCACGTGCGTGGACAGCGGACGTCAACGTCTCAAGTGCGTGAAGAGCGGACATCACGTCTCACGTGCGTGAAGAGCGGACGTCAACGCCTCACGTGCACGGAAAGCGGACGTCAACGTATCACGTGTGTGGACAGCGGACATCAACGTATCACGTGTGTGGATAGCGGACGTCAACGTCTCACGTGTGTGGACAGCGGACATCAACGTCTCACGTGCGTGAAGGGCGGACATCAACGTCTCACGTGCGTGAAGAGCGGACGTCAACGTCTCACGTGCGTGGACAGCGGACATCAACGTCTCACGTGCGTGAAGAGCGGACATCAACGTCTCACGTGCGTGAAGAGCGGACGTCAACGTCTCACGTGCGTGGACAGCGGACATCAACGTCTCACGTGCGTGAAGAGCGGACATCAACGTCTCACGTGCGTGGACAGCGGACATAAACGTCTCACGTGTGTGAAGAGCGGACATCAACGTCTCACGTGCGTGAAGAGCGGACATCAACGTCTCACGTGCGTGGACAGCGGACATCAACGTCTCACGTGCGTGAAGAGCGGACATCAACGTCTCACGTGCGTGGACAGCGGACATAAACGTCTCACGTGCGTGAAGGGCGGACATCAACGTCTCACGTGCGTGGACAGCGGACATCAACGTCTCACGTGCGTGAAGAGCGGACATCAACGTCTCACGTGCGTGAACAGCGGACGTACACGCATATTGCACCGGCTTGCCACGAGGGTGTGGACGCCTGAGTGAAGCCAGGTCATGCAACATGTAAAATCCTAGGTAGCCACGTTCGGGATGGTTCATTGTGCGCATGGGGGAGCACATAGGATAATCCAGTATGCGCCCACCAGGTGCAAGGTGGGACAGTCACATGCCAGCTGACAGCACGTTGCAATATTTAATTAGTCAGAACCAGGTATGGTGCAAACATGGACCAAGGCTATAGCATCCATCATGAGAAATATTCAACACTAGCTAGGCTAGGCCAGGCCAGGCCAATCTAGGTCAGGTCAGGTCATGAAGGTCAGGTCAGGCCAGGCCAGTCAATGTAAAGGTTGACGGGCCAGGTCAGGTTGGTCTATAAACAGTTTAGGTCAGATAAGGTACAGCACAGGCACATGGATAACAAAAGATACAAACCTGCATATGACATACACACTTCACTGGCATGACATGCACATCTAGGCAACATGCCACACACACTCAGCTGACATAATGTGTACATCTGGGTGACATGGCGCGCACACTTGGCTGACAAGCCCCATACACCTGGGTGGCAGGCCACATACACTCAGACGACAAGGCATTTACACCCCAGTGACATGCCACACATGCTATGTTGACATGATATGCACATCTGGGTGACGTGGCACGCACACTCGGCTGCCGTGGCACGTACATCTGGGTGCGGTAGTTCTCCTCCAGCCGGGCGGCCCGGTCGGGCGCGGCGCACATCAGGTACCCCTGCGGGTGGAACTGCACGTCCGGCGGCTCCTCGCCCTCCACCGCCAGGAAGCGGTTCACGTTCCGCAGGAACTGCGCCGAGAACATGGACATCTGGATGTTCTCGGGCAGTGAGAACTGCTGGCGCAGCCCGCCGACCGAGAGCGGCGTGGACGCCGTCCGGTACTGTGGACAGGTCGGCGGCGGGTCAGCGGGGACAGACGCTGGGGAAGGGGAGGGGGACGGGAGGCGGAGATCAGCCGGTCGCCTATCAGGCAGTCACGCAGCCATCGCCAGAAGCTTTACTAGAAGCTGGTGGCGGGGGTTGGCCAGTGTGGCTGGATCGCGCATGTGGAATGACATTCAGCCTCAGCTGTATTAGCTGTGTATCAAATGTCTTCATGTTTCATTCCTTTTTCCCAATATCTACACGAAATCGCGACGTTCACATCCGGCGAAAGACGCGGGTGTGTTCACAGCCGGCGAAAGGCGCGGACGCACTACCCAGTCGACACAATACTACATCAACACTTGACTAGAGCACCACGTCGCTTAAACAGAACACAACCATCCCCGGCTCTCTGCTCGCGCCAGCACCACCGACACCACATTTCCGGTCCTGACCCCCAGCGCTCACCGTCGAGTCGCGCTCCACGACCACCACCTGCACGGCCGGGCCGGCGCGCAGCTTCAGCCAGAAGGCGATGGCCGAGCCCATGATGCCGCCGCCGATGATGCAGACGTCGCAGTGGGACGGGTAGTGGGTGCGGCTTTGGTGTCCCTCCCACAGGAAGCGCATGTCTGCCTTGAAGAGGCGCGCCACGCGCGAGAACGGGTCCTCTGGCGGTGGCGCCTTCTCCCGCGGGATGGTCTGGCCGGGCAGGGCGGGCGCCGGCGGCGACGGCGGCGGCGCGTCCCTCACTGTCCGCCGGCCGCGCCCGGCTCGTGTGCAGATGGCACGAGGGGCGCGCGCCGCCGCCCGGCTCCAGCTGGCGGCGGCAGCGCCACGTGCGCCGCGCGCAGGTACGCAGCATGGTTGTAGGTGGCTTATGAGGTGGAGTGGAGCAGCCACACTCAGTCACAAAGAGGCTGGGAAGAACCCAAAACACATCAGTATATTGTTTGAAATTTCAGAGGACTTTTCAGGCTTGAGTAGATTCAAATTGCATTATACTTACATGGTGGCAGCAGAAGTGCTATGTAGTAAGGTGAAAAGCAGTCATTTTTAAAGTGATTCCTTTTGGTGGCAAGACAATGAATAAACATTAAACTTTTCTCTAGTTGGGAAAACAGAAAGCTGTTCTCTCTACTCACCACTCCTTCAAGCCTGCCAACCCCCCCCCCCCCCAATCCAGAGTAAAATTTGTCTGCAACACAATATAAGGCAGAGTAAATGTGTAAGGAATGTTAAAATATATATTAAAGCAAAGTTTTTGCCATTTTTGTCATGACTACAACATTGTTTATTTCAGATGGGCATCATGACTCTTGTACTTAATGCACCCAAAGGCCCAAATCATCATCATTATCATATACTTATTTGATTTGGTTGTGTGAATATTCTTTATTTAATAGCACCTATTTATCTAGCCAGCTACCACTCTTCCAGAGTTCTGTCCAATGGTGAGTGTAATTCTTTAAGTTTTCAACTACATTGTGCTACATTGTTCAGGGTGTGAAATGTGTGCAACATGAACATCAGCAAAAAAGCCAGATTGTCATGGAATTTATGTTGTGCATCCTATCAATTTCCAGGGAAATACATACATGCCTGTAATATAACATGATTGTAAATGGTTGAATATGCACACATTTCTGACAAAACATACATGCACTATGCCCATGAAATAGCATCTCATTCTTGTGTCAGCTGACACACAGATTTATGTAGAGAACATTCACATATACTAATGTATATAAGCAATAAACACATCACCATACTCACATACCAATATATGTCATCTAGAAATAAGCAATGCTGGCCTTGAACACATGTGTTCAGGACACAGTTTCTGGCAGAGGGATTGAGTGCATAAGCATATGTTGGTATTTCATGTAGATATCAGGCAAGAGTGCGTAGAATAAAAATGCAAGGCAGAAAAGACCTTCAATTAGGCATTGTGTGGTGGTTGGGGGGGGGGCGGGAACGAATACGGATTCAGCGTCTTTAACAGATATATCCATATATACAGAGGACATGAAAATTAAAAACAATCACAGCATTTTCATGACACCCTAAAACAATGCAGAGCGACTACTTAAAAAATAAACGCGCACATACGAACCGGCAGCGCTTACCAATCGCACGATGTGCGCAGCTTTACACTACGCGTTAACGGATGTATTAGCTGCTGCTTCCACCACTAGGTCGCAAATAATTTCCATGTCATCTATATATTTTAGCATTCTTCTGAATAACTCGTTACATTATGATACTACTAAAAATTATTGTATAGAAATTTTGATGAGATTTTACCATTTAACTTACAAGTTTATAACGAGTAGATTGTACTCTGGTGGCGAAATAAAACTATTCTTACTCAGTGAAGTGTACCGCGAGGCCCGCGTAAGGGTAG